TAGATTAGATAATCGTTATGTTTGTTTTTGTATATGTTAATATTTGATTTGTAACCTGTAGTCGTTATTACTTTTGTCAAATTTTCTTGATTACACAGCGGCCCTTTTATAAATGCCCTTTGGTTTTAGTTACCCCGCCTCATCTCCCCCACCCCTTTTCTTTTCTTTTCCTCTCCCTCTCTCTCATGTTCTGATCTTTCAGTTTAAATCGTCTAATGTGTGTGTATGTCACCACAAAATGTATCTTTTCCGGTATATGTTTAATGTAATTTAGATATCCGAGAATATTCATATTTCTCTCACTTAAACCGTCTTTTGCTCCCCTCTTTAAAACTTCTCACTGTTAAATTTTAATCCCCCACTTTCATCTTTAGACCTTCCTGTTCTTCTCTAGCCTGTTACCCCTCCCTATAACTTTCATTTACTCTAACATTCGTCCCACACTCTCATACATACACTCTCGCTAAATTTTATTTTTTATTCCAGGAGTTGTTTTTCTGTTTTCTTTTTGAATTTGTAGGTCTGTTGAATTGCAATGAATTATGACCATGGAATATTAGTGTTTAAGCCTTTTTATTATATCCTTACTCTGTCCTGGACATTGAGTTCTACCTGGATTCTATCCTCTTGGAATTATTTTTTATACAAATATATATGTATGCGTATGTATATATGTATATCTATTTATATATATTTTAGATATATCATTGTATATGTATGTGTATATTTACCACTAATATTATCTATATATATATATATATATATTGAAGTCAACGCTCATATATATGTAAAAAAAAAAAGATTAAAAATAATGTAAGCCTTAATAAAAAAGAAAAAGCCAAAATCCAATAATATTAACTATGAATATATCCACAATTTTCTAATTGCGTTTAGATACATGCACACAAGCCATACATCTACTTAAATAAAATAAAAAATAACATAAAATCATCCTTGATGATGGACTAAAAGTACAGCCGAAAGTGCTCGAAATGACAGAACATTTGAACAGTTTCTGCACACTTTGTGTCCAGAAAAGAAAACACTTGTTCGGACACAATAAAAATTAAGTAAAATGCTTAATCGTCGTCTTTAATGAAACATGTATAAAAGAAGGGATTGCTGGCTAAATACAGAATAGTATACACACACACACACACACACACATATATATATATATATATATATGTGTGCGTGTGTATATAAATAGTCTTAAGTTGTTGTGCTATAATTATGGGATATATATATATATATATATATATATATATATATATATATAATATATTTTTAGACATTTTATTTTTAACATTCTTTTTATAGACACAAGTATTTAAGTAAATGCTCTGTTTATAATAAACAGTATTAAATAACATTTACCGGCCTGAATGTCCATTTACTTAAATACTTGTATATATAAAAAGAATGTTAAACATAAAAATGTCTTTAATAAATTGTCGGATTTTGTCCATTTCTTAATGTATATATATATATATATATATATATATATATATATATATATCGAGGCAATTCGTAGTGCAAGTGTAGCAAGCGTGTCTTACTAGCTCAATTACAACCAAATAGTCTGTTAGATCCCGGCCTAGTACCACTTCTAAGCTAAGCTTAATAAATTTACATATATATATGTGAAGAAAAATATACGGAAAAAACGTTGTACATATAAATTTTAGATCAAAATAGAATTCTTTTCATTTTTCATTCAAAACACTCAAATTTTAGGAATACGTTTTCACAGCGTCGCCCACGGGACCACAACGTGACCATGTTTTAAACGGAGCGCTGATCTTATAAAACTTACAGTTATCTGTTTGGATAAGTCTTGTTCTTATGTACATCGTCTTTGTCATGTTGAATTGATAATGTTAATTATATTTTATGAATATGTTCTGAAGATGGTTTATTAGACCGAAACGTCCGACGTTGACATATTAACATTAAAACAGCATAATTGCATATAAGGATTTTTGTTTGTTTTTTCCGTATATTTTTCTTCATACTGTCGGATCTATATCCATATATTTACTGATATATATATATATATATATATATATATATATATATATATATATATATATAGTGCGATGGGTAAATTGTCGATTATATATAATTTTAATTTCGCGCATGCGCGTTGTTTCTCTTGTTCATTTTGTCGATGGCACAGTATAGTAGGGTCGGTTGGTCACCGTCTGTGAGAAAAACTACCATGGTACAATTCCCTGCGACAGAAATTGGGAAACGGTAGGCTGTACTATTTTGCAATCGCACCAGAAGCTCCAGAGACAGTACAGAGGATTCGGAAAGAATCGGATGAGTCTAATGGTGATTACGAAGGTGCGACAGTTCAGTAAACTCACTCAAAACGTTCTTATAAGAAAAGAACAACCGAATTTATTGTTGAGGGCTACAGAATAAGCATGGAGACCTACATCAAGTGTCTTGAGGAGGTAGTGCTGTGCTGAGTCAAGACGGTGCCTGCTCGAACACCCTATGTCTGTAAACAGGACTCTGCACCATACCAAAAAAGCAGGAGAACCAAGTCATGAATATCAGACAATTTCTGCAACCACATCGCACCTTACATCTGGCCACTTAATTCCCTAGACTGCAACCGCTTTAATTATTGTGTTTAGTGGGGGGAGTTGCGCCAAAGAGACCAACAAATTTTCTTGTAACACAAAAGATGAACTAAAGGCAAATATTATAACAGCATGCACCACGTCCGGAGGCCATGGTTAACGACAATGGCGATTCCAATGGATCAATTTACACTTTAATATTTCAAGATATTTTTGTGTAATTTTGGTGAACATATCTGTTAAAATTATTTTAATTTTTGCGAAATTTTAACGACAATTTATCCATCGCTCCCTCTCTCTCTCTCTCACTCTCTCTCTCTCTCTCTCTCTCTCTCTCTATATATATATATATATATATATATATATATAGGTTTGCATGAATTCCTTATCCGTCATTATATCTTAGTATTGCAGACGTCATCTTTTGTGGGTACGAGATTTTGAATTACTATTCCTGTTTCTTTTTTTTTCTTTCTTTCTATTTCGGGTTCCCGTTTTCAATAATTTTACAGGAATCTTTCCCAACGACTCTTGAATTTTTAGCCCCCGTGGATCGAAGACGCTGAAGCATTTATTCTGAATGGCGTTTTGATACCGTCTCTGTAATTGTTAACATTTATCAATAGCCATTTAAGAGTTATCCGTCTCAAAATCAATGGCAGTCTGCTGGTATACAAGGCATTACGTTTAATTCACTCTGTTTCTATTTCTCATTCTAATTATCTCGGTCAATCGATCGATCGATCACTCGATCTATCTATCTATCTATCTATCTATCTATCTATCTATCTATCTCAGTATGTTCATGATCTATCTATCTATCTATCTCAGTATGTTCATTATCTATCTATCTATCTATCTATCTATCTATCTATCTATCTATCTATCTATCTATCTATCTATCTATCTGTCTCAGTATGTTCTTTATCTATCTATCTATCTATCTATCTATCTATCTATCCATCTATCTATCTATCTATCTATCCCAGTATATTAATTATCCATCTATCTATCTATCTCCCAGTATGTTCATTATCTATCTATCTATCTATCTATCTATCCATCCATCTATTTCAGTATGTTTCATTATCTATCTATCTATCTATCTATCTATCTATCTATCTATCTATCTCAGTATGTTCATTATCTATCTATCTATCTATCTATCTATCTATCTATCTATCTATTTCAGTATGTTCATTATCTATCTATCTATCTATCTATCTATCTATCTATCTATCTATCTATCTCAGTATGCTCATTATCTATCTATCTATCTATCTATCTATCTATCTATATATCTATATATATATATATATATATATATATATCTCAGAATACTCATTATCTATCTATCTCTCTAACGGTGAGGAAAAAATATACGCATATATATTCTTAGTATAAATTTGACCTTTGCTGTATTACTATTGTTATTGTGCTATAACAGATCAGTCTATTTTTTCTCTGTGTGTCAGTCTATCTCTCTGTCTGTCTGTATGTCTCTCTCTCCCTCTCTCTCTCTCTCTCATATATATATATATATATATATATATATATATAATCGAAAAAAGATAGCCCTTTGAAAAACACACATACGCTGTCATTGCCTTTGTCATTATATACTTAAAACAATTCACTTTTAATTTCGTTCATCGTTTCATACAATTTATTTTCTATTTCATTCGAGCGATTTTTTTCTATTACCATCTTTTAGTAATCTTCTCTTTAAATCTCACTCTCTTTTTCTTCCCACCTGGTTTCATTTCCTCTTTCTCGTTCGCCCCAATTCTCTTTTCTATTCCTACTCTTTATTTTCTTTTCACGTTCTCCCTCCTTAAAAAAAAAAAACGTGTCTGTCTTCTCTCCTTCTCTGTCTCTTCACCATTTCCTTCCTTCCACTTTTCTTTCTTTAATTATATTTTTATTTGCTCTCTCTCTTCCTCTGTCGATTTCCTTCGTTTTCCCTATCGTCTGTCCCTTCCTTTCTTTTATTTATCTTCCTTTCTTTTCTTATATATCTCGTTCTTTCTCTTTACTGATCTCTTTATATTTAATCTTCTTCTTTTTCATCGTTTCTTCTCTTTCTCCCTCTCTCTACTTTCTTTTCTTTCCCTGATTTTTTCTTTTTCATTTTTTTCTTCTTCCTTCAATTTTTTTTCTCAATACGTTTTTTTTTTCTGTATCGTTCCTATTCTTTTTTTCCACATCTCTCATTTTTTTCTTGACGAGCCTTGTGACTTTTTTTTTTTAAATATTCTTTCAATATCAATCTTGTCCGTCGTCGATTTTTTCTTCAGTTTCCTTCGCTGATTCCTCCCTTCCTTCATTTCATCTTCGTTTTTTTCTAATCATGTCTTTCTTTCCTTTTCTTTCTTTTGCTATTTTTTTTCCTTTTTCGCATTTTATTCATTCACTCCCCTTCTCTGTTATGTGTCCCGTCCACATATCTACCCTCTCTCATCTTCCGTCTATCTTTCTCACACTCACTCTCTTTCTCTTTCACTCTCTCTTTTTCTTACTCTCTCTCTGTCTCTCTCTCTCTCTCTCTCTCTCTCTAACATACACACACATCCAGTCTTATTTTTCTTCTCTTTCGCCTTCTCTTCTGTCATCTACATTAAGCAATGCGGAGCCAGGACACTACTTAGATAGGAGACCTTTTGGGATCACTGAGTACTCCTACAATTCGAAACATAGTCCGGTTTTAGATAACGCACAAAGGGTTGATGAACCGTAAAAAATAAGTAAATCTTTCCCTGCTTTTCTATCCTTTCTCGAAAATTCTTCCTCCTCTTTCTCACCTCTCCTCTTACAACTCCTCTCCATAAATGTCTCTCCTCCTCGTTCTCTACACCTTACCCATCTCTCTCTCCGATCTTCTTGATCTCTCTCTCTCTCTCGCTTCTCACAACTTCGCATTCTCACTCTCTTTCTCACTCTCTCTCTCTCTCTCTATCCAATCTTCGTCTATCTCTTTCTTTCCCTCTATATCCTCTCATTGAAAAAACTTTCCCTTCTCTCCTTCTCACTTTATATCTCACACCTTTTATCTCTTCCCTACTAACCTTCACCCTTTTTCCTCGTCTATATCCTCCAGGTCACTTTCTCTATCATCTCTCTCTCTCTCTCTCTCTCTCTCTCTCTCTCTCTTCCATTCCCATATTTCATCTATTTCTTCCTGCCTTCTCCTCTTCACAGATCTTTCCCGTTTTCCCTTCTCACCTTACATCTCACCCTTTGACTATCACTATGACTCTCTTTGTCTTTCCTCTCCCCATCTCCTCTTGTTTTTCATGCAATCATTCTTACGCACACCCGTTCCTGCTCTTTCTCTTTTTCCCGCTTCTCATCTTTCATTTCTCTCTCTATTTCTGTTGTAACCTAAAAATATATACTAAATGAGGAATAACCAAAACGAGGTTGGAAATAAAATGGCAACTTTTATAACATCAACAAAATACAATGCTCGCCAGCGTCGTGAAGTAGGTAAACCACTGCTAGAGGTGGACTACTTATACAGCATATTACACCCACTTACAATAGTGTCCAACGTATTTATGAGAATTGGGACATACCCATTAGTGTTCATATGTACGGTATATAACAATAGATAATGAAGTGACTGAATAGATCGATAGATATGTAAGTAGAGATATAACGAAGACACGATATATATATATATATATATATATATATATATATATATATATATATATATATATATACACGAAGGAAAAAAATGTCGTAAGAATTTTTGCTGTTAATAAATTTTTTAAAAAATCCAGACGACACGCTTTTAACGGATGCTAGATTTCATTGAAATATACATCCCTACACCTACCAAAACATAGCTAATAACTGATACATTAAAATATAGACATAATGAACCCCCAGACACCCCTCGTCTAGTAAACTGGATTCATCTGTAACCTTGGAAACGGGAATTATGTTTTTAGCTGTGTCTTTAAAACCCAGTAATTTTAAAAGTTACTCCAAAATTCGCTTGAGGATGAAATGGAACCTAATGTCTTTAATTTAATTACTAATTAAATTCGTAGCTTTTAGCTTCCATTTTTGAAACATGGTTAGAACTGTGTAGCGGAAAAGACCATATTTTAAATCAATTAATTTATAATATTGATGCTCTGTAAATTTACATTGAGCACTATTTTGTAAAAATAAAAATATCTATAAGAACACCGGAATATATATCTTACTGTTCTTTCTTTTTATATATATATATATATATATATATATATATATATATATATAGATAGATAGATAGATAGATAGATAGATAGATAGATGTTGTAACATAGAAAATTTTACGGCATGAGGAATAACCAAAACGGAGTTTGGAAATGAAATGGTAATCTTTATAACATCAGCAAAATACAATACTCGCAAGCGGCGTGAAGTAGGTAAACCACTCCTAGTGGTGGACTACTTAGACAGGATATTAACCCCGCTTACAATAGTGTCCAACGTATTTATGAGGACTAGGACATACCCATCAGTGTTCATAGGTTCGGTATATAACAATTTCCTTCTTTCTTTTCTCTTTCATACCCATTCACTAGATTCTCTTCTGTCCTGCGTGTGATTTAATTCAACTCCTCCCTCTAACATCTTTCACTGTTCCTAATGAATACACTACTTTTCATTTCCTTCTTCCTTGTTTGCTTCCTTCCTTTCTTCTTCCTTGTTTGCTTTCTTCCTTTCTTCTTCTTCTTCTTCTTCTTCTTCTTCTTCTTCTTCTTCTTCTTCTTCTTCTTCTTCTTCTATTTCCACCTACCCTTCTTTTTCTTCTTCTTTTATCTCCGTCTTCCTTTTCTTCTTCTATTCCCACTTTCCCTTCTTCGTCTTCATCTCCTACTATTTCCAACTTCCTTTTCTTCTTCTTCTATTTCCGTCTTTCTTTCTTTCTTTCTTTCTTTCTTTTTCTTTCTTTCTTTCTTTCATTCTTCTTCTTCTTCTTCTTCTTCTTTTATTTCAACATTCCTTTTCTTCTTCTATTTCAACCATCCCTCCTCTTCCTCCGTCTTCTTCTTCTTCTTCTTCTTCTTCTTCTTCCTTCCTTCCTTCCTTCCTTCCTTTTCTTTATCTTATATTTCCACTTTTCCTCCTCCTCCTCCTCCTCCTTCTCTTCTTCTTTTTCTTCTTTATCTCCCGCATTCTTCACTTACCACCCCTTTTTCGGCTCTCATTCTATCTGTCCTGCTATTTCGGCCGCGCCCCTTAACTAACTTTCTCTCTCTTTCTCTTTCTCATCTTTCACTGCTTCCTTCTTTCTCTTCTATGCAAATTCTTTCCACCCTCTCTATCTCACTTTCTCACTCTCGAATTCTCTTATACACTCCTTACCATTCTTCTTTTCTCTCTATTTCTTCTTCAGCACTCTCTCTCTCTCTCTCTCTCTCACACACACACACACACACACACGCACACGCGCGCACGTACACACCCACACTCAAATCTACCCGGTGGCCGCTTGGGAATACCAGATTCTTTAAATTTGGATGGGCGAGTGGTATAATGGATAACGGCTCAGAATTAGACATCGCGTTCTTTATATTCCTTTGTGCGCAAATACTATTGGGAACGTTAGGAATCCACTATTTTTACCCCTCCATCTATGGGTTAAATAGTAGGGCTCATATCATTAAAATCATTATAATCGCTAAAAAATTCTTCAAATAATCTTCAAAAGGTTGATAAGCCGTAAAAATGAATGAATGAATCAATCTCTCTTTTTCTCGTCTCCTTGCGTCTCTCTGTCTATTTCTCAACCCCCTCTCTCTCTCTCTCTCTCTCTCTCTCTCTCTCTTTCCGTCTTTCTTTAGTGCTGGATATGATGATTAACTACATCCGGCTGCAAGGCATCTGGTTTGGAGTTTAGAGGTTTTGAGGAGCCTGGATGCAGCTTTTAATTTGTGTTATTCCCAGGTGCTCTCTATCTCAGGGTGGTAACACCTGTTCGGGTCCCAGATATGGGCAAATAATGTACCCACAAACAAAAAGAAAACACTATGAAAGTATAAAAACTTCAGCAATACATTTTTTTTTTATAAAAAAATGACCATTAATACATTAATTTCGTAAAATGACGAACCATACATTTTTAAAACAACATGACCAATAATATATTTTATCTGTAGATGAAGCCATAAGATTGTGTTCAAAATGTTTATATTTCGGCATTAAATAACCTATAGTTATACCACTAAACAAAATCAACTAATTCCCTTGAAAATTATTTCTCCCAAACTGCTTTTCTTTCATGAAATTCCTTTTATTGAGACTTCATTTTTGTTTTCACATTCTTTTATTACTCTTCGCCGAAATTCCTCATCTCTTTCCCTTGCTTACCTTCTTTCTTTTTTCATTAAAACTCAAGTCTCTCTTCCTGTAATCTCTCCTTCATCCCTTCCTCCTATCTCCCTCAGTCTCTCCCAGCTTTCTTTCTACTTCATATATTTCATCTCTCTTTTTTTTTCTTTTTTCTCCTCTCCTTGAAACATCTTTCCTGTCTCTCCCCACTCATCTTCTCTCTTACACCATTGATTCTTTATCTCTCCTTCTCACTTTCCCCTCACGTTTTAACTCTTTCTTACTCACACTTTTTTCTCCTTTATCAATTTTTCTTTTCTTTTTTTTTTCTTTTTTCTTCCTCGACATTTTATTGTCTCTACGGCTGCACTTCTGATCTCTCTCTGTCCCCTTGCACCTCTCTGCTGATATTTCTTCCTTTCCTTTCTCCTTCTGTACCAACTGTTCGCATTTTTCTCTCTCTTTCAGTCCTTCTTCTCCTTCAAACTTCTTTCTTGTCTCGTTATATCGCCATTCCTATCACACATAATTTCCTTTCTCTCTTTTTTTCTATATTTCTTTCCTCGCCTTTCCTTGTCAACTTCCTTCTCAAAGCTCTAGTCTCCAACAATATCTCCTCTTTATTTGCATATCTCACATTGTCCTATCTATTTCTCTTCATCTTGCTTCCCCTCTCCTTTCTCAAAACTCCACACTCCATCAACGTCTCACCTGCACGTCCTTTTCACGTCTCACATTTGTCCCATCTCTTTCTCTTCTTCTTCCTTCCCCTCTCCTTTCTCAAAACTCCAGTCTCCATCAACGTCTCTCCTTCACGTTCTTTTCACGTTTCACATTTGTCCCATCTCTTTCTCTTCTTCTTCCTTTCCCTCTCCTTTCTCAAAACTCCAGTCTCCTTCAACGTCTCTCCTTCACGTTCTTTTCACGTCTCACATTTGTCCCATCTTTTTCCTTTCCCTCTCCATTCTCAAAACTCCAGTCTCCTTCAACGTCTCTCGTTCACGTTCTTTTCACGTCTCACATTTGTCCCATCTCTTTCTCTTCTTCTTGATTCCACTTTCCTTTCTCAAGACTCCACTCTCCTTCAACGTCTCTCCTTCACGTTCTTTTCACGTCTCACATTTGTCCCATCTCTTTCTCGTCTTTTTCCTTTCCCTCTCCATTCGCAAACTCCACACTCCATCAACGTCTCTCCTGCACGTTTTTTTTCACGTCTCACATTTGTCCCATCTCTCTTCTTCTTCCTTCCCCTCTCCTTTCTCAAAACTCCAGTCTCCATCAACGTCTTGCCTTCACGTTCTTTTCGTTTCATTTGTCCCATCTCTTTCTCTTCTTCTTCCTTCCCCTCTCCTTTCTCAAAACTCCAGTCTCCATCAACCTCTCTCCTTCACGTTCTTTTCACGTTTCACATTTGTCCCATCTCTTTCTTTCTTCTTCCTTCCCCTCTCCTTTCAAAACTCCACACTCCATCAACGTCTCTCCTTCACGTTCTTTTTTTCGTCTCACATTTGTCCCATCTTTTTTCTTTCCCTCCATTCTCAAAACTCCAGTCTCCATCAACGTCTCTCCTTCACGTTCTTTTCACGTCTCACATTTGCCCCATCTTTTTCCTTTCCCTCTCCATTCTCAAAACTCCACACTCCATCAACGTCTCTCCTTCCCGTTCTTTTTCATGTCTCACATTTGTCCCATCTTTTCTTCTTTTTCCTTTCCCCTCTCCATTCTCAAACTCCACACTCCATCAACGTCTCTCCTTCCTGTTCTTTTCACGTCTCACATTTGTCCCATCTCTTTCTTCTTTTTCCTTTCCCTCTCCATTCTCAAAACTCCACACTCCATCAACGTCTCTCCTTCCCGTTCTTTTCACGTCTCACATTTGTCCCATCTCTTTCTCTTGTTTTTCCTTTCCCTCTCCATTCTCAAAACTCCACACTCCATCAACGTCTCTCCTTCCCGTTCTTTTCACGTCTCACATTTGTCCCATCTTTTTCTTCTTCTTGATTCCACTTTCCTTTCTCAAGACTCCACTCTCCTTTCAACGTCTCCTTCACGTTCTTTTCACGTCTCACATTTGTCCCATCTTTTTTTCCTTTTTTCCTCTCCATTCTCAAAACTTCACACTCAATCAACGTCTCTCCTGCACGTTTTTTTTTTCATGTCTCACATTTGTCCCATCTTTTTCCTTTCCCTCTCCATTCTCAAAACTCCACACTCCATCAACGTCTCCTTCCCGTTCTTTTCACGTCTCACATTTGTCCCATCTCTTTCTCTTGTTTTTCCTTTCCCTCTCCATTCTCAAACTCCACACTCCATCAACGTCTCTCCTGCACGTTTTTTTCACGTCTCACATTTGTCCCATCTCTTTCTCTTCTTCTTGATTCCCTTTTCCTTTTCTCAAGACTCCACTCTCCTTCAACGTCTCTCCTTCACGTTCTTTTCACGTCTCACATTTGTCCCATCTTTTTCCTTTCCCTATCCATTCTCAAAACTCCACACTCAATCAATGTCTCTCCTGCACGTTTTTTTCATGTCTCACATTTGTCCCATCTTTTTCCTTTCCCTCTCCATTCTCAAAACTCCACACTCCATCAACGTCTCTCCTTCCCGTTCTTTTCACGTCTCACATTTGTCACATCTCTTTCTCTTCTTTTTCCTTTCCCTCTCCATTCTCAAAACTCCACACTCCATCAACGTCTCTCCTGCACGTTTTTTTCACGTCTCACATTTGTCCCATCTCTTTCTCTTCTTCTTGATTCCACTTTCCTTTCTCAAGACTCCACTCTCCTTCAACGTCTCTCCTTCACGTTCTTTTCACGTCTCACATTTGTCCCATCTTTTTCCTTTCCCTCTCCATTCTCAAAACTCCACACTCAATCAACGTCTCTCCTGCACGTTTTTTTCACGTCTCACATTTGTCCCATCTTTTTCCTTTCCCTCTCCATTCTCAAAACTCCACACTCCATCAACGTCTCTCCTTCCCGTTCTTTTCACGTCTCACATTTGTCCCATCTCTTTCTCTTCTTCTTCCTTTCCCTCTCCATTCTCAAAACTCCACACTCCATCAACGTCTCTCCTTCCCGTTCTTTTCACGTCTCACATTTGTCCCATCTCTTTCTCTTCTTCTTCCTTTCCCTCTCCATTCTCAAAACTCCACACTCCATCAACGTCTCTCCTGCACGTTTTTTTCACGTCTCACATTTGTCCCATCTCTTTCTCTTCTTCTTCCTTTCCCTCTCCATTCTCAAAACTCCACACTCCATCAACGTCTCTCCTGCACGTTTTTTTTTCGTCTCACATTTGTCCCATCTCTTTCTTTCTTCTTTCTTTTCCCTCTCCATTCTCAAACTCCACACTCCATCAACGTCTGTCCTTCCCGTTCTTTTCACGTCTCTCATTTGTCCCATCTCTTTCTCTTCTTCTTCCTTTCCCTCTCCATCCTCAAAAACACCACACTCCATCAACGTCTCTCCTGCACGTTTTTTTCACGTCTCACATTTGTCCCATCTCTTTCTCTTCTTCTTCCTTTCCCTCTCCATTCTCAAAACTCCACACTCCATCAACGTCTCTCCTTCCCGTTCTTTTCACGTCTCACATTTGTCCCATCTTTCTCTTCTTTTTCCTTTCCTCTCCATTCTCAAACTCCACACTCCATCAACGTCTCTCCTGCACGTTTTTTTCACGTCTCACATTTGTCCCATCTCTTTCTCTTCTTTTTCCTTTCCCTCTCCATTCTCAAAACTCCACACTCCATCAACGTCTCTCCTTCCTGTTTTTTCACGTCTCACATTTGTCCCATCTCTTTCTTCTTTTTCCTTTCCCTCTCCATTCTCAAAACTCCACACTCCATCAACGTCTCTCCTGCACGTTTTTTTCACGTCTCACATTTGTCCCATCTCTTTCTCTTCTTTTTCCTTTCCCTCTCCATTCTCAAAACTCCACACTCCATCAACGTCTCTCCTGCACGTTTTTTTCACGTCTCACATTTGTCCCATCTCTTTCTCTTCTTCTTCCTTTTCCTCTCCATTCTCAAAACTCCACACCATCAACGTCTCTCCTGCACGTTTTTTTCACGTCTCACATTTGTCCCATCTCTTTCTCTTCTTCTTCCTTTCCTCTCCATTCTCAAAACTCCACACTCCATCAACGTCTCTCCTTCCCGTTTTTTCACGTCTCACATTTGTCCCATCTCTTTCTCTTCTTCTTCCTTTCCCTCCATTCTCAAAACTCCACACTCCATCAACGTCTCTCCTTCCCCGTTTTTTCGTCTCACATTTGTCCCATCTCTTTCTCTTCTTCTTCCTTTCCCTCTCCATTCTCAAAACTCCACACTCCATCAACGTCTCTCCTGCACGTTTTTTTCGTCACGTCTCACATTTGTCCCATCTCTTTCTCTTCTTCTTCCTTTCCTCTCCATTCTCAAACTCCACACCCATCAACGTCTCTCCCACGTTTTTTCACGTCTCACATTTGTCCCATCTCTTTCTCTTCTTCTTCCTTTCCTCTCCATTCTCAAAACTCCACACTCCATCAACGTCTCTCTCCTCCCCGTTTTTTTCACGTCTCACATTTGTCCCATCTCTTTCTCTTCTTCTTCCTTTCCCTCTCCATTCTCAAAACTCCACACTCCATCAACGTCTCTCCTTCCCGTTCTTTTCACGTCTCACATTTGTCCCATCTCTTTCTCTTCTTCTTCCTTTCCCTCTCCATTCTCAAAACTCCACACTCCATCAACGTCTCTCCTTCCCGTTCTTTTCACGTCTCATTTGTCCCATCTCTTTCTCTTCTTCTTCCTTTCCTCTCCATTCTCAAAACTCCACACTCCATCAACGTCTCTCTCCTTCCCGTTCTTTTTCACGTCTCACATTTGTCCCATCTCTTTCTTCTTCTTCCTTTCCCTCTCCATTCTCAAAACTCCACACTCCATCAACGTCTCTCCTTCCCGTTTTTTCACGTCTCACATTTGTCCCATCTCTTTCTTTCTTCTTCCTTTCCCTCTCCATTCTCAAACTCCACACCCATCAACGTCTCTCCTTCACGTTTTTTCTTTTCACGTCTCACATTTGTCCCATCTTTTCTCTTCTTCTTCCTTTTCCCTCTCCATTCTCAAACTCCACACTCCATCAACGTCTCCTTCCCGTTCTTTTCACGTCTCACATTTGTCCCATCTCTTTCTTCTTCTTTTTTTTCCCTCTCCATTCTCAAACTCCACACTCCATCAACGTCTCTCCTTCCCGTTCTTTTCACGTCTCACATTTGTCCCATCTCTTTCTTCTTCTTCCTTTCCCTCTCCATTCTCAAACTCCACACTCCATCAACGTCTCTCCTGCACGTTTTTTTTCACGTCTCACATTTGTCCCATCTCTTTCTCTTCTACTTCCTTTCCCTCTCCATTCTCAAAACTCCACACTCCATCAACGTCTCTCCTGCACGTTTTTTTCACGTCTCACATTTGTCCCATTTCTTTCTCTTCTTCTTCCTTTCCCTCTCCATTCTCAAAACTCCACACTCCATCAACGTCTCATCTGCACGTCCTTTTCACGTCTCACATTTGTCCCATCTCTTTGTCTTCTTCTTGCTTCCCCTCTTCTTTCTCAAAACTCCGCCTCTCCTACTGACCTTCCTGCAATCTCTCTTACCAGCCCTTCCCTTCCTCTCTCTAATTATTTCTCTTTTCTCTCTTTCCCAACTTAATCCCGGCAGCATTGAAAGCGCTTCCCTAACTGTCCTTGTTGTCTTCCTTCCCACACAACTTATCTCACTCTCACTTTTTCTATCTTGGATGTGATCACCCTCCCCTCAACCTTTTCCTACATTTTCCTCTGATTTTTTTCATCTTCCTTATATTCCTCTGTCTCTCTCTCACTCTTCCACTTTCTTTCTTTATTTTCTCGTTCTCCCTTTCCTGCAATATCTCCCTCTACTCTTCCCTTCTCTCTCTAATTCTCACCCTCTCGTCCTTTTCTCTCTCTCTCTTACTCTCTCTCTCTCTCTCTCTTTGAGTCTTTCTCCTCTCCTTGAAACGTACCTCTCTCTTTCAAAGTCTGGTGCTACTTCGCGAACCTTCTCTGTCTTTCCCCTTTATCTTTCTTTTCTATACCTTCCCCCTCTCTCTTTTTCTTTCCTTCTTTCACATCTCATTCACATTTTGCCGCAATATCTCCCTCTACTCATCCCTTCTCTCTCTAATTCTCACCCTCTCGTCCTTCTCTCTCTCTCTCTCTCTCTCTCTCTCTCTTTGAGTCTTTCTCCTCTCCTTGAAACGTACCTCTCTCTTTCAAAGTCTGATGCTACTTCGCGAACCTTCTCTGTCTTTTTCCCTTTATCTTTCTTTTCTATACCTTCCCCTCTCTCTTTTTTCTTTCCTTCTTTCACATCTCATTCATTTTTGCCGCAATATCTCCCTCTACTCATCCCCTTCTCTCTCTAATTCTCACCCTCTCGTCCTTCTCTCTCTCTCTCTCTCTCTTTGAGTCTTTCTCCTCTCCTTGAAAAGTACCTCTCTTTCAAAGTCTGATGCTACTTCATGAACCTTCTCATCTTTTTTCCCTTTATCTTTCTTTTCTATACCTTCCCCCTCTCTCTTTTTCTTTCCTTCTTTCACATCTCATTCACATTTTGCCGCAATATCTCCCTCTACTCATCCCTTCTCTCTCTAATTCTCACCCTCTCGTCCTTTTCTCTCTCTCTCTCTCTCTTTGAGTCTTTCTCCTCTCCTTGAAATGTACCTCTCTCTTTCAAAGTCTGATGCTACTTCGCAAACCTTCTCTGTCTTTTCCCCTTTATCTTTCTTTTCTATACCTTCCCCCTCTCTCTTTTTCTTTCCTTCTTTCACATCTCATTCACATTTTGCCGCAATATCTCCCTCTACTCATCCCTTCTCTCTCTAATTCTCAACCTCTCGTCCTTTTCTCTCTCTCTCTCTCTTTGGAGTCTTTTCCTCTCCTTGAAACGTACCTCTCTTTTCAAAGTCTGATGCTACTTCGCAAACCTTCTCTGTCTTTTTTCCCTTTATCTTTTTTTTCTATACCTTCCCCCTTCTTTTTTCTTTCCTTCTTTCACATCTCATTCACATTTTGCCGCAATATCTCCCTCTACTCATCCCTCTCTCTAATTCTCACCCTCTCGTCCTCCTTCTCTCTCTCTCTCTCTCTCTTTGAGTCTTTCTCCTCTCCTTGAAACGTACCTCTCTCTTTCAAAGTCTGATGCTACTTCGCGAACCTTCTCTGTCTTTTCCCCTTTATCTTTCTTTTCTATACCTTCCCCCTCTCTCTTTTTCTTTCCTTCTTTCACATCTCATTCACATTTTGCCGCAATATCTCCCTCTACTCATCCCTTCTCTCTCTAATTCTCACCCTCTCGTCCTTTTCTCTCTCTCTCTCTCTCTCTCTCTTTGAGTCTTTCTCCTCTCCTTGAAACGTACCTCTCTCTTTCAAAGTCTGATGCTACTTCGCAAACCTTCTCTGTCTTTTTTCCCTTTTTATCTTTCTTTTTTTTTCTATACCTTCCCCTCTCTTTTTTTTTTCCTTCTTTCACATCTCATTCACATTTTGCCGCAATATCTCCTCTACTCATCCCTACTCTCTCTAATTCTCACCCTCTCGTCCTTCTCTCTCTCTCTCTCTCTCTCTCTCTCTTTGAGTCTTTCTCCTCTCCTTGAAACGTACCTCTCTCTTTCAAAGTCTGATGCTACTTCGCGAACCTTCTCTCTCTTTTCCCCTTTATCTTTCTTTTTTCTATGCCCTTCACACTCTCTCTTTTTCTTTCCTTCTTTCACATCTCGTTCACATTTTGCTGCAATTTCTCCTCTACTCATCCCTTACTCTCTAATTCTCACCCTCTCGTCCTTTTCTCTCTCTCTCTCTCTCTCTCTCTTTTGAGTCTTTCTCCTCTCCTTGAAACGTGCCTCTCTCTTTCAAAGTCTGATGCTACTTCAAGAACCTTCTCTGTCTTTTTCCCTTTATCTTTTTCTTTTCTATACCTTCCCCTCTCTTTTTTTTTCCTTCTTTCACATCTCGTTCATTTTGCCTGTTCTCCCTCTACTCTTCCCGTCTATCTCGAATTCTCACCTTTTTTCTCTCTTTTTCAGTCTTTTTGTCGCCTTGTAACTTATTTTCTGTCTCTCCTTGACACCTTCCCTAACATTCCTTTTTCGTCCATCTTTCTAACTACGCAGCTGCTCTCACGTGCTATCTCCATCGACCCTTCCCCCCATTGTCTTCTCTTTCTTTTTCCCACGTTCCCCTTCTCTTTCCTTTTTTTCTTCTCGTTCATACTTTCCTGCAATCTCTACCTCCACTCTTTCCTTCTATCTCTATTCTCACCCTTTTCTGTCTCTCTATATCTTTCTTAGTTTTTCTCCCCTCTTTGAAGCTTATTTCATGTCTCTCCTTGTCATCTTCCCTCTCATTCCTTCCCCGTCTCTCTTTCTAACCCTGCTGCTGCTGCTGCTGTTGCTCACGTGCTCTCTCCATCGCTCCTTCCCCATTTCTTTCTCTTTCTTTGTTGCACATTCCCCCCTCACTGTCTCTTCTCTTTCCTTCTTTCTACTCTCGCTCAGACTTTCCTGCAATCTCTTCCTACACTCTTCCCGTCTCTCTCTAATTCTCACCATTTTCACTTTCTCTTTCTTTCTCTCTATCTTTCTCTATCTCCCTCTCTCTCTCTCTCAGTCTTTCTCCTCTCCTTGAAACGTATTTCCTATCTCTCCGTGTTACCTTCGCTTTCATTCTTCCTCGTCTCTTTTTATAACCCTGCTGCTGCTCTAACGCTTTAACCCTTCGTCCCTTCAACACCCCTTTCCTTTTCACACCATTCACTTCTCTCTCTTTCATTCCTACACATCTCACTTTCCTGCAATATCTCCCTCTACTCTTCCTTTCTATGTTTCTCACCCTTTTCTCTCTCCCTCTCTCTCTCTCACTCTCTCTGTATGTCTGTCTCTCTCTCTCTCTCTCTCTCTCTTTCAAACCTTGAAATTTCTTTCCCATCTCACCTTGTCACCATCCCTTCCCCGTCTCTCTTTCTCACCTTACTGCTCTTCTCTCAATCGCCCTTTTTTTCCACCGTCTTTCTCTTTCTTTTTCACACCTTTACTGTCCCTCTCTTTTTCTTTCTTCTCTCCTCCCCAGTCTCGCCCAATGGTCATGAGGATTCTCTTAATGATGACGAAGTACAAGCAAAGGCCACCGGCTTTGCAGGTAGAGGTAGCGAGGAACGAGACGGGGGTGGAAGACCCATCCTACCGTATCGATTCATCTTCTTACTAAGAGCGCCACTGATAACATCAGCTTTATGATTCCAAGTGCCTCGGCGAATGAAATCAGATAGATACTATCAGCAAGATTGGCGAGAATTCGTTCTCTACGAGAAAAGCACGCGAATTCTCGCCAGTGATTTAAGAGATTTATCGAAAAACGCCACTGGAAATGTGAGTCAAAAATACGAACGCATGCGCTCTTCAGCGAGAGATTCATAACGGCGAATCGTTAACTCGACAACGAGTCGTAATTCTTTTAATTACGGCATAGCTCCATTGGCCAGGAATCGGTACAGAATTCAAATCATTTTATTTGGTTCAGGAATGTTAAAAGTCCAGAGGTAACTGTGATAATTGTCTTTTATGCTGTCTGTTTTAATTTGGCATAATGAAAAATAACGAAAAATATAATATATATATATATATATATATATATATATATATATATATATATATATATATATATATTAATTATTTATTTAGCAATTCCTCCTTTATTGCTCAGTTAAGTCTCATTTAAGTGCACACACAGACATACCAAACTCTATCCGCAAGTGAAAGAAAAAAACGTATGTACCCCTCCCAGTTGTTACTTCAACATACATACATACATATATATATATATGTTGTTACATTAGAATATATAAGTTACTATTACATGTTCTAATGCAACAGTGTATAAAAACAATTATTTTTTCTACTCTTTTGTATTGAGCCCTGTTTTAAATTAATGTTTTAATTAATTACATTTTCGCGCGTATATATATATATATATATATATATATATATATATATATATATATATATCAAATATGTATATGCAGTTCAATTTATATTACAATGAATCATTCATACAAAAAGTAGATTAGTAAAGTTAATGATATAAAATGGCGAAATCTCTTCGTAAACTAAATTTTAAAGTTGCATTAACCTACAATTCACTCGATGAATGATATGATCCTTGTTCTTAATAACGACAAGATGTATAAGTTCTTTTTTTTAATCTGCTAGTACTTTCAACAGTACACTCAGTCATCCTCAGGCATGGAAATTATTTCGTTTTTAGTAAAATCCAGGTAGAATCAGAGACGAAATATTAAATGCGAATCGAAATACGTTTTTTTTTTTTTATAGAAATGTGTTATTGTTAACGGATACAAACTTTTGGAGCTTGCAGTCGCGACGCTAACATTGAATTATTTTTTAAATCTAAGAGAGTGCGTTTTTTATTAATATGGTAATTTGAAGATTTTTGTTGTTGTAGGAGTTTATCAGTCAATGTGGCAATTTTGTTTGCAAAGAGATTTCGCCATTTTATATCATTAACTTTACTAATCTACGTTTTGTATGACTGATTCATTGTAATATATATATATATAAGTTTCATTAAAAACGACAAGGTAGTGTCAAACCAAAATCATAATTAATGATATTGGATATACTACAACATGAGCGGCAAGAAGACTTACGTTGAATGTTTCTAATCATAGCTCAATCAGGCCTCATTTAAATACTCATGGAGACCTACCAGACTCTCTCCGTGACATACTTGTTAATAATACTTTGTGGATTCCGTGTTGAAATCCGGTACCAATAAATAACAAACGCCAGGAATGAATATATGAAAATAATGTATTAACGTAATAATACAAACTGGTAAAGCGGGTTAGTAGTTCGAGGAATACGGGTTAGTAGCAAAATATATAAACAGTCTTTGGTATTGAAGTATCGCTGTATGACTTCTTACTGAGTCTACGTGCTCGCTAACTGTGACTCCTACAACGCTGTTACCTCACCCATCACTCTTCCGGTTACCTACAACCTTTTACTCTGTCACTCTGGACTCGACTCTTCGGTCTTGCTCTCTCGGGTCTTCACGTAGCCGTAGTATATGTATATACTGGGTGAGTCCATTTGTGTAAAAAAGGGAGAACCCCTCAACAAATACAAATATAATAACCTCACTAACAGGCAAAGAAAGGATAAAAATAATGGAAGCATTATCAAGAAAAAAAAACAACACTAATATCAATTATGAACACGGCCACAAAATATGACCGTGTTTGGAAAATAAAACATTGCTAAATCTATAGTTACATACAAATATAGTTACATACAAATATAGTTACATACAAATATAGTTACATACAAATATAGTTACATACAAAAATCAATCCATACATTAAGCTAAAAGTAAGTATGAAACCATCCTTGATAATAGATAAAAGTCTAGCCGAAAGTTCTTAAGGCATCCAAAATATGTGAACAACTTCTACATAATTTAAATCCTGAAAAGAAAAAAATTATAGGATCACAAGAAAGATTAAATAAATAAAAAAAAAATACTTAACCTTCTCAGTCGTTTTTAATGAAATTTAGCAATTATTATTTTTTGTTTCTTTTTTTTTTTACTGTGTAGATTGATATTTATGTATCCAGACTTGTGGCAATTATTTTTATTTTTTATTTTTTTTCAATAGCAACAACTATAAACACGGTTACAATGAGCAGACAGCATTTCTAAAATAAAATAAAGAATATTTTAACTGCGATATTCTAGAATCTTTTTTCGATAAATATTGAACTTTACTATATCTAATTTAACAATTAACGTTCTAGTCTAATATTGAGGAATTTGTTAGCAGATATTTTCTTAAATTTTATATATGTTAAATTGAATATCGTATATTAATTACGCCTATTAATATGTAGCATTATATATATATATATATATATATATATATATATATAATATATATATATATATATATATATATATATATATATATATATATACTATATAATATATATATATATATATATATATATATATATATATATATATATATATATATATATATATATATATATATATATATATATATATATATATATATAGAGAATGTCTTATACTGAGAATATTTAACATCGAAAAGCATGAAGAGAAAAATTAATTATTTTTTAATAATATGTGAAAATCTCCACGCTTTGCCTGATGAAGATCGGAATCACGAGTACAAAAATAATGGGAAATAAAGCATAATATATTTTCTTTAAAATAGATCCACATTACAAACCAAAAGTTTGCGTTTTCTTTTTCTTTTAATATACACACTTTTCTCTCGCTGGAGCTACTATAACCTCTTCCATCGATTATATATATATATATATATATATATATATATATATATATATATATATATATATATATGTTAAATTCCCAGATAAATTCTGTGGACAAGACAGATTGGTATCAAATGACAATTGAAAAAAATCCATACATTTTGCCGACGCGTTTCAAGGCAAAAAATGAAATCGAAATGTTTTTGTTGTTATAGTTACATTAAAACATCCAAATTTAAAAGATAGACGCTTGTGTCTAAGCCTTTTTTTCTGGTTAATGTAAATTACCTTTATAGTAAGGATTATTATTTTTTTTTCCATGTCGACAATATAGTTAAATTCCCAGATGAATTCTGTGGACAAGACAGATTAGTATTAAAATGACAATTGGAAATATATATATATATATATATATATATATATATATATATATATATATATATATATATACAATAAAATTATACACAATACAAAAAATTATATTTATCTATCTATCTATTTATCTATCTATATATCACATGTATCTATATCTATCAATCTGTCTATCAATTGTCTAAAATTTTGTATATTTATAAAGAAAAATTACTTAATATCTTCGAAAATCACACGGAAATTCACACTTACCAAGCTGTATTAATTTCCATATTCCCACCGTCTTTCTTTCTCTCTCTCTCTTTCTGTCTATATATATATATATATATATATATATATATATATATATATATATATATATATATATATATATCACGTTGAAACACCAGATCCCATAAGATTACTGAAGTTAAGCAACGTTGAGCCTGTTCAGTAACTAGATGGATGACCGCTTATAAATACCAGTGGATGTAAGCTTGATGTGTGAGTGTTTCGAAATTATTCATCGGAAAGACGAGCAAATAAATGCCATAACCAAATGTATGAACCAACCGTATCTCCTCCAGTTGTAGGTTTAAACATGTATCACTAAACAATATTGTTCCATCACCACCATAAAAATATTCTTACAATATAAAAATATTTTCTCGCTTTACATATCCTACAAAGAATTGATAAGCCATAAATACCGAATCAATTGTTTAGGAATTTAAAATATCTTCTCAAATGTCATTATCCTGTAAATAGATAGTTCAATATATATATATATATATATATATATATATATATATATATATATATATATATAAAAAATTCCCAGATGAA